CCTCTTTTTCCCCTCGCGGGCCTGCCTGCGTCGGCGCGCTGTGATGGAGGAGGAGGAGGAAGCCGAGGAGCAGCAGCGATTTTCTTACCAACAGGTAAAGGGAAACGAGGTCCCGGCTGGGTTGGGCAAGGACGCCGTCGAGTTTCTGGTGAGGAAAAGGCTCCGGGGCCTCGGCCGCCCCGCGCGCCTGCGCATGCGCCCGGCTGCCGCGGGGAGTGCTGGGAGGCGGTTTCCGCGGCAACGCGGCTGGGCCCCCGGCCGCTGCGGCGCCTGAGGAGGCGGAATCCGGGCAGGCTCCGGGGTCCGTCCGGCTTTGTGCCTACGCCTCGGCCTCCCCTTCTCATACAGGGCTGGTGCGAGGGCGGAATGTGGGCATTAAAGGAGACTCCAGGTGACGCGCTGAGCTCGGTGCACGGTACGGGCAGGAGCCGTCAGCTCCGCGCCCCGCAGAGCAGGAGGCTGCGCCGCAGGGCCCGGCTTCAGCCCGGCAGGCCGGCCCCGAGCCCCTGCTCAGACGGGGCTTCTAACCTCGGCTCGGCCGGTGTGTGACTGTGCTGGCTCCGGGCCGGACAGCTTTCTGCCCCGCAAAACCGGAATAAGTGTGACTCCCCGTCAGGGTAGGTGCGGGTGTCCCGTCGTGCCTTTAATCAGCACCGGGAATACGAGGCGGCCGAGTCACAACATCGCGGTGCTGTGGAGAGGTGAGAAGCAGGACGGGAGTGGCAGCCTCGAAGAGAATCGACCGAAGAAACTCGGGAATGAGCTCGGGACTGGGAGCTCCTTCCCGCGGAGCGTGAAGTTACAGCAGCCGTCTGCCCCGTCCTCAACTGAGACGTCCAGACCCGAAGAACAGCCGTGGGGATGGTGCGGGAAACGCCCGATGCCCTTTGTCCACCGATCACCTCTGTCCACCTCCGGTTAACATTTTACTGTATTTACTACCTTGCTTTTTTCCCCTGAGTTATTTGATAATTAATTGCAGATATCTTGACACTTCACCTTTGAATTTTAGTACTTCAGTATGCATCTCCCAAGAACAAGGGCATTCTCCTACATCATCTCAATAAATGATCACACTCAGGAAGTTTAGAATTGATAGAATTCTATTATCGAATGTACAGTTCATATTCACTGTCCCCAGTTGTCCCAAAGGTGTTTCTTTTTTTTTTTTCCCCTTTTTTCGTGACCGGCAAGGATCGCAACCCTCAGTGTCGCGCCCGTACCGGGACCGGCAACGGGATCGCAACCCTCGGCGTTGCTCCGGCACCTCGCTCAGCCAGTGAGCGGCAGGTCTGTATGTGGGATCCGAACCCTCGGCGGGAGCGCCACCGTGCTTCCCAAGTGGCGCACTGTAGCAGTGCGCCATCGGGCCGGCCCCAAAGGTGTTTCTTTTAGCCATCTTTTCTCCTTCATCCAGGATTCAATTGAGGATTGGGCACTGCTTTAGTATTTAGTATCGCTTCTGCACCCTATTTTTGTTTTTCATGATATTGTTGGTTTTGAAGAGTCCATTCATGGCAAAGGTGTAGTGAGACGTAAACTTGAGAGCAGGGGCTGTTTTTTTGGTAGCTGACCAGACCAGGGAAAGAACCCTGGATTTGGTGTTATTGGCACCATGCTCTAACCATTTGAGCTAATTGACCAGCCCCCTGTCCTTTTTATTTTTGTATTGTTAACCTCTAGAAGAGCCTGGCTCTCGGTAGAACAATAAATGCTTACTGGTTAAATGAAGCTGCAAAGATGGGCTGAGAAATTTGAACCTCAGCTGTGGCAAGTCCATAGAACTCACCAGTCATTAAATCAACTGTTCTTGGCACTAGGTAGACAGCAGTGAACGAAACTGCCAGGGTCCTGCCTTTGAGGAGCTTAGAGTCTACTGACTTAGCCTCTAAGTGCGATGATGTCTGCAGTATTGATAAAGGCACTTAGCCCAGCTCAGGAGGCAGGGGGTGGGAAATGAGGGATAGAGAAAACCTGGAGTAAAGAGCATTCAGAAAGATCTGTGTCCTGCACCCCAGCCCCACCCATACCTAAACAAGGCTACCCTCCAGGTTCTTTGACTCCTACCAAAGGCCTCTACCCTGGGGTCCTGGACTTATGTATTTTTGCAGTTCCTCCTCATCTTGTCTATAGGGTGAACACTTGCTGGTAGATGTTATGCTGTCTTGGTTTGGCTGTCACCATGTCCAGTTTAGCTCTGTCTTCAGCACAGAGACGGGGCACACAGACAGGAACTCAACAGAAGTTTGTTCACATGTGATTGAGACCATTGCTTAGCTTGTTTTACTTGTGTCTTGAGGTTCTTCCTCCTTTTTCGGTACTTTTACTCCTCTGTGTGGGGAAGAGATGTATTTTTCAGTATCTAAAAGGGCTGCTGAGTGCTGTCTGTTCTCTTCACAATTGGCCGCCATCTGAGGAGTTGCGGGAATCTGGAGCTCTCAGGTTCAGTCCTTTGAGCTGGCGTAGGGGTTAGGAGCACAGAAGGAAGGCTGGTGGTGAACAAGTCCCCTACTTTTCATCTTCAGAAACCCCTCGATCTGGGGGCTGCTTCGAAGCTGCACTCAGAATGGTCCAGCATCTGACATACTGTTGTAGGCCTTGCTACAATACAGCCTCTAACAAAACTAGGTTGTCCTGAACCCCTGGTAATAGCATGGTTTACTTTTATACCAAGAAGGTTGGGAAAGCACCAAAATCTGCATGTGGCGTGTGTCCAGGCAGACTTCGAGGGGTTTGTGCTGTGAGATGTAAAGTTCTTATGAGGTTGTCTAAAACGAAAAACATGTCAGCAGGGCCTGTGGTGGCTCCATGTGTGCTAAATGTGTCTGTGACAGGATCAAGTGCTCGTTCCTTATGGAGGAGCAGAAAATCGTTGAAAGTGTTGAAGGCACAAGCAGAGAGTAAGAAAGCTAAATTAAAAAAATGAAGCTTTTCTGAGTAATAAAAATAAAAATAAAAGGGCTGCTGAGGAGCAGTGAGGCCCCTGCTGAGGTGGGCTCGCAAACCTCCAAATCACAGGAGTTTCAGGTGTGCCCTCACGAGCCTTTTCTGGTGTCACTCTGATCTTTTGTTCTTCGTGAGCTGCAGGCCTTGGTCTGCAGGCCTGGCAAGGAATGCTCAGCAAAGGGGTGGGATCCTTCAGTATTTACTTGATTAACTGCCTTAGGGGCAGAATCCCATTGGTTTTTCCTTGGTTCAGCAAATGCCTCGCATATGCCTTTACTCAATAGGAACTTGGCAGAGAGTTGTGGAATGACCCAGTAAAGTCGCACAGGTACTTGGCAAGTACTGGCCTGACTTCTCTCCCTTCTGCCCTACCATCATAATTCCTTATCGCTACCTGACCAAAATCATAACCATTAACTAGGAGGTAGTGTTTCTACAAGTCACACCCCAGACGGTCTCATTAGTTTATTAGTATGCTTGAGAAGTCATTCAGCCATTATGGAAGGTGCTGAAGGAATTAGGCTGAGTGGACTGTCTCCTGGGTCTTGATTTCTTAAGGTGAGAAAAGCTATTATTTGCAACCTTACCCATGAAGTATTTTAATTTTTTTTTCCCCAGAGGCTAAAGGCAGCAGTTCATTACACAGTCGGTTGTCTTTGTGAGGAAGTTGCATCAGACAAAGAGATACAGTTCAGCAAACAAACCATTGCAGCAATTTCGGAGATGACTTTTCGACAGTGTGGTATGAAGCTGTGCTCTTCCTGTATATGTATAGAAATGCCAAAGGTTGATTGTGCCTGGGAGCAGTGTGTGGGCACGTCTCAGCCACACAGCACATCATCATAGGACACTTCATGACACACTTCTTGTCTTGGCTTTAAGATTTGGATATTTTATGGGAAGAAGTGGTTTTTTCTTATACACTAATACTGGGACATTAATACCTTTATATTATTGTTTTTTAAACTTCCCTGATGGCTGGAACACTAAACATTAGATTTATTTCAGTGCTTTATAACATTTTTATATCACCTGTAGTTGATTTGACAGCTGAATGTGTGGCATTGATATTTGCTTGACTTCAGAGGAAATGAATGTTCTCATAAGCCCTAACTTGTAGCAGAATTTAAAGTTAAAGGATAGTTTCTGGAAACCAAAGTTGTAGTCACAATTAACGGAAGGCTTGAAATAAAGGGTGGAGGGTGCCAGGAAGGACAAAGAGGTCATAACAGATAAGAAAGCTAAAGGCTATTATTAAATGGTGGGGCTGCCTGAAGTGCCTCCTCTCCCCTTTAAAGGGGTTTGTTGCATTAGTCACTACACAGACTGTAGAAATCGAGATTTCACTTTTTCTGAAGTGCGATTGAGGTAAGAGTAGCTAAAGTGTATCTTTTTTTTCTCTTTCAGAAAATTTTGCCAAAGACCTTGAAATGTTTGCAAGGTGGGTTGAGAACTTGATTATCCACTGCTGTGTTTGTCTGCGTTCTATTGATACTCTCCATCTGGTGGTGTATTTCAAGAGAGCTTTAGCTATTCATTTTTTTGTGTGCTTTCTAGATGCTCATCTCTAATCATGATTCTGCAAGAGCATAATGTCTGCTTTAATTACGTCGATTCAGACTGGTTTTGGTATTTTTTGAAGTTTTCCAAGTACTTTTTGTTAAAGAACCCAAGTTGTTTAGTTCCGGGTTAAAAAGGTTTGAATAACATCTCCAGGACTCTGAATGTGTATGGCATGCCTATTTTACAAATGATGTCTTGGGGCTGGGTTGATTGCTTGGGGGCTGAGAATCCGGGTGTCTGGGTATCGAGCCCCTCTGTGGAGTGGGGCCACTTTGTGTTCTGTGGCAGTAATTGCTTGCAGGTGTTCAGATAATGACAGGCAGAGGCTTTCATTTGCCACATTTGTTATGAGTAAGACATACTCCTTGAAAAGTGGGTGACTTGCTTTCAGCTGGTAAAGCTTGAGCTTTTATAGGTGATTTATGCTCATCTCTTCAATTAGTACCGCAGGTAATTGAAAACAATTGCAACGAATTGCTTTTATGAAGCAATTTGAATGACTAAGGCCTGAAAGAGCTAAAGCTTTCTAATTTGCTACCACTTCTGATTTGGTGCCAGCCTCTCCCACACCCCACACTTTTCACCTTGCTCCTATTAGCTCTTTGTTTCTCGGATGAGTATTTTGAATGAATTAAAGGAGTAGGTTCTCAGAGGGCAGGCTCTAAATCTTTCCTATTCCTCTATATATTAGTCCCTAAAAACCGCTTAGCATCTTCAACTTGGCCAAAAGGGATAAGATAATATTATGGGATGCTGATAGCTCATATGGCTTATTCATTGTTAATTCAGGCGGTTGCCCCTCATGTATGCCGCCACCCCCCACCCCATGAAATACATTTATCACCTTTACTTCCCATTTCTGTGTTTGCTGTGGAAAAAGACAATGAAATTTAAAATACTTTTGTAAAAATTTTCGAAATAATGAAATGAGAAATTTTTAGTACAGTAACACATTAAGCTTTAAGATATTAAGACATTCTTTGTTTTTTATAATTACATAAAAGGTCAATATTCTTTTGCTGGGCACTAGGGGGAAAGTGGTGTGTGTGACTTAGACTGTAAGCTTGGAAGGGCTGTCAGCTGCTCTTCTCTAAGGCTGACACTTAGAGATTGAGGCTGTCAGAGGCTCTAAGAGAGAGGCCTCATCTTCTGCATTGTCTTGTGTGCTCCAGTGCTTCCCAGACTTCACTGAGAACCTGAGCCAGTGGAGAGCCCAGTGAGGATGCCCTTCACGGGTCTGGGCACAGCCAGGGGTAGCAGGTGCACCCCCTTCTTCTTGGCACAATCCACAAGTGCAGATTTTCTTTGAAGATTCATCCTTTGTTTGAATTTTACATTCATTTTCATGATATTCCAGTTTGCTTTCGTACAAGAAAGTATTATTTTAAAGTTTATTGCAAAATAAAACTGATATTCCCAGGTCAACTTTGCTTACCCATGGCTTTGAGTTGTTCCTATTGCGTAGTCTACTCCGAGGACTATGATTACCCCAGTTTGAGAAATCTAAAATAGTACTGTTTCAGGTCAACCGTATATTAAATAGTCTTTTGTAGGCTGGCCTGGGAACCTAACCAGTATTTGTAACATTGTTCCTATGAGGAAACACATTTAAATTCTTTTAATTTAAAAAAATTTTTGTTTGTTTTTTGGTGGCTGGCTGGTACAGGGCTCCAAACCCTTGACCTTGGTGTTATAACTGTGCTCTAACCAACTGAGCTAACAGTCCAGTCCCACATTTAAATTCTAAATAATTGATTCACCTGCAAACTTTGGAAAATCAGCTCCAAATGAATTTCCTTTATTTAGCTTTGAAATCTCTATTCTCCTAATATTGTTAATATGTTAAAGATCAAAGGGCTGGCCAGTTAGCTCAGTTGGGTTGAGCACAGTGTTGTAATACCAAGGTCAAGGGTTTAGATCCCTGTACCAGTCAGCTGCTAAAAAATAAACATTTTGAAGAAGATATTCTATAGTAAATAAATTTGAGGAATATTTTGGGAATAGTCTTTAAAATTTGTGTTGCTAATGAAAAATTGCTTTGTTATTTTCCCTAGAGTAAAAAAATTGCTTTATTATTTTCCCTGGAGTGAGAGGTTTGACTTAGGAGAGTCTCTGATATGCAGTGGCTGGCATAGGATGTACCTGCCCCTCCATCTAGGAAAGTGTTAACCGTTTCTAGATACCAGATGCCCAGCTAAGTGGTAGAGAGGATTGAGTTTGTTTCCTAAACACTTCCTGTGAGCAGATAAGATAAGCTTACTCTGTAAACAGGTCACTATGCTCATTCCTTGAACTCATTCCTTTTACTATACTTCAAGAAGAATATAAATACAGACAGAGCAGCCCGATTGTGCACCACTGTGTCCATGGCACTTAATATTCTCCACCTGGGACATCTGTGGACTGGCCTCGTACTTTGTGGCTCCTGTTATATCACCTTCTGTCTGACTTTTTTTCTCTCTCCTCTATCCTGGTCCTTGCAGTTGCTAATTAGAAGTTATCTCCTGAAAGGACTATAATCTCATGACAAGCAGATATTGCCACTCATGTTGAGATGACGTGATATTTGTACATTTAGCAGGATGTGAAGGATTAATTTGGCCAAATTATGAAGTATAAGTTTTGTGTGATTTTATCTTTAATTCAGCAGATATTTGGTGAGAACTCTGTGTACCATCCAATTTGCTAGTTATTTTATTATTTTTTTTTTTTTGTCTTTTGTCTTTTTTCCGTGTCCGGCAACGGATCGCAACCCTCAGTGTTGCCCCCGTACCGGACCGGGGACCGGCAACGGGATCGCAAGCCTCGGTGTTGCTCCCGCGCCTCGCTCAGCCAGTGAGCGGGAGCCAGTCTGTATGTGGGATCCGAACCCTCGGACGGGAGCGCCGCCGCGCTTCCCAAGCGGCACACTATCCAGTGCGCCACCGGGCCGGCCCCAATTTGCTAGTTATTTTATTATTTTTTTTTTTTTGTCTTTTGTCTTTTTTCCGTGTCCGGCAACGGATCGCAACCCTCAGTGTTGCCCCCGTACCGGACCGGGGACCGGCAACGGGATCGCAAGCCTCGGTGTTGCTCCCGCGCCTCGCTCAGCCAGTGAGCGGGAGCCAGTCTGTATGTGGGATCCGAACCCTCGGACGGGAGCGCCGCCGCGCTTCCCAAGCGGCACACTATCCAGTGCGCCACCGGGCCGGCCCCAATTTGCTAGTTATTAAGGATACAAAGTTTCCTACTTATTCCTGCTTACAAAGTTCCTACTTATTTGGGGGAGAGGTTAGAAATGGCAAGAAAAGGTGTGATCAGAGTAATAAATTTAAAAAGTTTTTTGGTGGCTGGCCAGTAAGGGGATCTGAACCCTTGACCTTGGTGCTACAAGGTGGTGCTCTAACCAACTGAGCTATCCAACCAGCCAGAGTAGTAAGTTATTGAATACAGCTTATTATCTCTAATTATCTTTCATAGCAAAGACAGAGGACTGGAATGAGAATTTGAGTCCAAGTTGTGGGCAAGAAACAGACTCCATTCTACCTAGGACATTGTGGAGGGAATGCACTAACTGCTTGTTGGGAAATGGGGTACTAGGAGGCATCTGCATATGTGTTTCCCTCTAATTTAGCCCATGGAGAAGAGCTGCAGGATCTTGATATAAATAAAGCCATGCTTCATGGGAATTGTCTTTGTTCTTCTATTTAATGTCTGTTTAAGTAGAGGTGACCTTTGTATTATGAGACTCATTTTCTCTACACTAAAGTTGTACACTGGTCTTGCTCTTTCCGTGGTATTTGCTGTGACCACTGACTAAGCAAGTCACCTTTGGAAGGGTTATTACTCCTCAGACTCCTTTCTGTGTTCTTATTCTTCAGACACCCTTGGCCCTCAGGCGAAGGTGGACAGATGGGCTTCTGTGTTCTCCTGGTCTCTTTATTTAATTGGTTCTTGGCTATAACTTCACTCATTTTTGTGTCGCTGTTACTTAATGACCTTAATCTAAAAAGATGGGCTACTTAGAGATCCTTGCTAGTTTGAAGTCTGACCATGAACTTTTGTGTTTCATCAAAACTTCAAATAATACCAAACATTTTGGTGACGTGTGTCTGCCCTTTCTACAGACATGCAAAAAGAAGTACAGTTAACACAGAAGATGTGAAGCTCTTAGCCAGGAGGAGTAATTCACTGGTGAGAGATGAATTTCTTTCCTCACTCCCCTTTCCCATCAGAATACATTATTCCCAATTAATCACTTGAAGCCATGAAGTTATTCCCCAGGGCACCTTGCATTAAAAACTAGAGATGCTTGAACCATTCAGACCTGCCTATAATTTATAGTCTTTCTTTCATTATGATGGATCTTGCTAATAAGCCAATTTGAAATTTTCTTATCAGCACTCTTTGGGTTTCATAATTTGCCTTTTCTGTAATATCTCAAAACTTTAGTCCCATGTTTTATTTACCACATGATGTCAGAGCCTGGTCACAGGCTAGAATCTATAGGAATAGTTTTGTTATGGTGCCCACAGTTCTCCTGGTATAGACAGTTAGCCTTAGAAGAGCCATTTTGTATGGAAGGAGTATCTGTGTGGCTGGATGTGCAGGAAAAAGCACATTTTCTGTCTTTTCAAGTCCAGAAATCTACTTGACCAAGCCCTCATTTTGTACCCTGAGATTATGTGACATCCCAGGCTAGTGGCTGTGGCCAATGGCACACCCATGACACCTAGGAGGTTTCCCGACTGAGTTGAATGCTAGCAGTTAAAACACTTGACCGACCGCACTATAATGTGGGCTCCATGAGGGAAGGTTTTTTTGTCTCTTCGTTCTGTGCTCCATCTACATTGCTTAGTGCCTGGCACACAGGAGGTGCTCAATAAATAACATGTATACTACTTTACAGTTTACAGGGGCTTTCATAGATATTATTTTACATATATTATTTAATCCTCACAACTACTCTGTATGGATTTTTTAATAATATAGCCTATTAGCCCCATTTTACAGGCTTGGCAACTGAAGTTAGGTAAGTTCTCAAAGTCAGATATGAAGCCTTCTGGCTGACGGCCGAACCGTAACCTTTTAACCCTGACTTCAGTGCTGTTTTCATCATGCTCTCTTTTCAACTCTCCTCTTCCTTTTTCTTTTTTCTTTTTTTATAAAGATGACCGGTAAGGGGATCTTAACCCTTGATTTGGCGTTGTCAGCACCACACTCTCCCAAGTGAGCTAACCGGCCATCCCTATATAGGGATCTGAACCCGTGGCCTTGGTGTTATCAGCACCGCACTCTCCCGAGTGAGCCACGGGCCGGCCCTTCATCTCTCCTCTTCTAATATCTTTTCTCCGAAGTTTAAGTCAGGGTTAAGGGTGAAATGACTCCTAAGTAAAATAGCTGAGGCACTTGGTTATTCTCTGTATCATGGGAGGACATTCTTCTCTCTTCATGAAGTCTGTGCAGCAGCATAACTGTTATTTGCTCTGCTTCAGTGAACAGTTTCTATCATTTGCAAAGAAATGGTCATTTCAACTCATGTAAGACTATTAATTGGGATTTCATCTACATATTGCATATTTGCTTATTTCAGAAGATTGTTTTTGTTTTGAACTCTTAAATTTTTCATCTGACAGACCTCATTTCTGAAGAATGTAGCTAAATATGAGGATTTGACTAAGTTCTCTGTCAGAGCAGGGACCTTGTCTTATTTACCTTGTATCCCTAATACTGGGTACATAGTAGTTGCTCAGTAAATTTTATTTGGATAAGTTTAGGGGGCATTGATTATACTTGTGCTTTGAAGAACATATTTGTGACTGGCATGCCTCCTTTAAACTTCAAATTTTTCATCTTTTTGATTACTCAAGGAACTCTTACATTGAAGTATACTACTTGGAAGATATGTGAGTAGCAGTGAATTGATTTTTGTAGTTGATTTCTTTTTCTAGAAAAAAATCTTGAAGCTGAATTTAACTCTAAAATGTAACACAGGCTTTTCCACTCAAATTCTTTGTGTGGGAGTGGTTGGGGAGGGTGTAGTTATTATTACTTTTAGGTTTATAAAATGATCTATAACCAGATATAAATAAAATTCTTTTTTTTTTATTTGGTAGTTAAAATACATCACAGAGAAAAATGAGGAGATTGCTCAGTTGAACCTAGAACGAAAGGCAAAGAAGAAAAAGAAGTCAGAGGATCGAAACAAAAATTCAAGGGAGTCAGCAGAGGATGGAGAAGTGGACAATGAAAATTAAAGTCTCACTACTTGGAAAAAGCAGGCTTCAGCAGGTGGAGCCACCTAGAAATGCATAGTGCTGTTTCAGCCACCAAGTTTGGCTGCCCTTTTGCCAAACACAGAAGACTTCAAAGTCAAATATTGATGCAAGGATTGAAAGTTTTAGATTCAGGACCAGCACCTAAGGAGACAGTCAGACTAAAACTGTGTCAAAGGCTCAGGAGCCTCAGCAAAATTTTAAAGGGAAGAGTGTGGGAAACAAAACGGGGAGGTTATTCCCATCAGGGGCTGCTACATGCACTGTTGCTGACTCCGGGCTATGCATTATCTCATGGGCAGTCCTGTAACTCTCCACCTTAAGCTGGATGTCGTCTTGTTCCCAGACAGGAACAAGCTGTGACTTCGAAGGACGAATGGTTGGTTCTGTAAGTTACTGATTAGCTTTATTACCTTGCTTTTCTTAAGCACTAAGTTCTGCATTGTTTTCCCATGAGCTAGGCTGTGAGTAAAAGTTACAAAAAGACTTCTTTATGGCTAGCATTCTGCTTAAAGCTGTATTCTACAAAATGGCTCTTCTAGGGCTAATTGTCTACAACTATTTGCTGTGGTGGGCTTTTACATTGCCACAAAAGGAATTTTGAAAGGATAAATAGATATTTAAAAAGAAAAAAAAAAGGCTCGGCAGCTTTTTGTATTGTATTCTCCAAGTTATTAACTGAAAAAGCTAGTTTAAAAGAGACCTGGAAACTCTTAAGCAAAATACTCCCATGTCTTTACTCAAGCACATAAAGAAGGTGTGTGTTTGGATGGTATATATTGGAAATTATATCTATTGTAACTAATAAAACTGTATTAGCAATTAAACGTGGTTAACTTTTTCAAGCAAAAATCAGTTATTCATTTTTTTTTTTGTCTTTTTTCGTGACCGGCAACGGATCGCAACCCTCAGTGTCGCACCCGTACTGGACCGGGACCGGCTACGGGATCGCAACCCTCGGTGTTGCCCCCGCTCCTCGCTCAGCCAGTGAGCGGCCGGTCTGTATGTGGGATCCGAACCCTTGGTGGGAGCGCCGCCGCGCTTCCCAAGCGGCGCACTGTAGCAGTGCGCCACCGGGCCGGCCAGTTATTCATTTTTTTACATAATTTTCCAGGTTAAATTACAATCTGCAATACAAATAAAGCTCTATTTATTTAGCTCTTCTGATTACTAATTTTTTTGTTTTATTTTAATTTATTTTATTTATTGAATCAAAATTGATTATACATATTTTTGGGGTTCAACATTGAGATATGTTTTTTTTTTTTTTTTGTCTTTTTTCGTGTCCGGCAACGGATCGCAACCCTCAGTGTCGCGCCCGTACCGGACCAGGACCGGCAACGGGATCGCAACCCTCGGCGCTGCGCCCGCACCTCGCTCAGCCAGTGAGCGGGAACCGGTCTGTATGTGGGATCCAAACCCTTGGTGGGAGCGCCGCTGCGCTCCTAAGCAGCGCACTGTAGCAGTGCACAGCCCGAGATATGTTGATCAAATCAATATTACTAGCATATCTATTGTCACAAATCATAATTATTCTTTATGCCCCTTGTGCAATCTCTCCCTATCCGTCTCTCCCTCCCCCCTCTAATCACCCTAGATTTCTTCTCTCCTTCTTAAAGAATAATGGTTACTCTGTTGATTTGTTGCCTAGATGATCTGTCCAATTCTGAGAGGTGTGATCAGGTCCCCCACTATTATCATAGAGCAGATGCTTCTTCTGTCACTCTGGAATGGGCTTTGTGGAGAGAGACATTCTCTTCTTTTCTTTATCCCTGCTGGTGACTCCCCTTGTGCCAATGCACTCCAGTGGTTGGCACACCATCTGCATGGTGGTTGTGACATCTAGCTGCTTTTGCAGCAGCCATGGTTATTGTGATGGCTGTGGTGGGCCACCCACACGGAGGTGATGTTTTTGGCATGCTCCTTGGCTCTGGTGGTGTGCCTGGTTGTGGGGTGTGTCTGGTCCCTGGCTCCATGCCTCCAGTCCCTGGGCAGGCCCCACGGCGCTGGCGCGGTTTGCCTGGTTGTGTGTGTGTGGGGGTGTCCAGTCCCCTTCTCCGTGCCTCAGGTCCCCAGGCAGGCCCTGAGGTGCTGGTGTGGCGTGCCTGGATGTGCGAGTGGGGTCTGGTCCCTGGCTACAAGTCTCTAGTTCCCAGGCAGGCCCCAAGGTGCTAGTGGTGTGCCTGGGCTGGAACTAACTTTTTGTCCTTTGCTTACTTCTAAAACAGGGGAACTTCCTGTGGGAACTAGTACTTGAGCTGTGTGGTTGAGCTAAATTGCTGCTTCACTGCTGTTTCCCTAGGGAAGACTTTGTGCAGCTCAGGGTTTAATGGTTGACCTTATAGGTACTTCTGGCTCTCCAGAGACCTGGTGGATCTGGGTTATGTAGAAACTCTGATCCGGGCCTGAGTCTTTTCATAAAACTGGACTCCGTGCAATTCTGCATTCCCAACCAGTCTCCTCTGAGTGGTCCTGTGCTGATTGCAGAGCAGGTTGGCTGTCCTTTCTGTGTCCCAGTGTTCTTCCAGTTGGCCCATCTCCCCCACCACTCGTGCTCCAAAAACTTAACATGGGACCAGCCCTACACCGGTCTCTTGTGATGACTCACTGGCCTCTGAATGGCTCCCTTTTTTCACTTGTTCTGGCTCCTCGCTCTTGCATGGGTCCACGGGAACCCTATTAGTGATCTTGCTGTCCTGGGGGCCGCCAAGGCCCTCTTCTCCCCTGCTACCTCCAAGTAACTCCATCCGAAGGGCACAGCGGTGGCTTCTGCCGGCTCCTGCTCCATGTGCTCCAGTATTAAAGTGGCTGTGGCCCGAAACAGAGCAGTTTTTTCTTTCTCTCATCATGGCTTCTCCCGCCTTCATGGACTCCATAGGTCTCTCCTCTTCCCCTGAGCTCCGGCTGCCCCCGCTTGGCTATTGTTACATTTTTATAGTTGTAAATTGGTTGATTTGTAGGAGAGAGTGACGCTGGGGACCGTCTATTCTGCCATCTTGACCGGAACTCCCATTAATATTGTTTTTAAACCCATGCCACCTGTGATCACCAGGTAAAAAGGAAAAAGGTGGATACTTGGGAATGGTCCTTTTTACTTTTTTTTTTTTTTTTTTTTGGTGGCTGGCCAGTACAGACATTGAACTCTGGACCTTGGGTTATGAGTACCACACCCTAACCAACTGAGCTAAAAGGTCAGCCCTTTTTACTTTTTTTTTAAAAAAAGATAAGGGGATCTCAGCCCTTGGCTTGGTGTTGTCAGCACCACGCTCAACCAGTGAGCGAACCGGCCATCCCTATATAGGATCCGAACCCGCGGCCTTGGTGTTATCAGCACTGCACTCTCCCGAGTGAGCCACGGCTGGCCTCCTTTTTACTTTTTAAAGTGATTTTTTCCAGAAACAGTTTATGTGACTTTTCTCTGGGTATTTTGTAATTAAACTGTGGTTCTACTAGGCAGAAGTTTTGCTTGAGGAGAAAATCTGTGACTAGTATCCCCAAACACTTCAGTGTGTCGTCCTCCATTTTAGTTTATGAGACATGATGCTTCCAAAAGCCTCAGTTCGACTGTCTTCTCATGTCTTTGGGGTTTCTTAGAGATCCAAGGCATGCCTTTCCCTTATAGGACTATAGGGATAAAGAAAAGAACTGGCATTAGAGCCCTTTCCGTGTGTCAGGCACTGCACTGGATGTGCCATATGTTACTGCATTGGATCTTCATGACTTTATCAGGGTAGATCTGATTTTCCCCATTTTACTGGTGAGCAACTTGAAGCTCGGTGAGATTAACCAACTGCCCACGATCACCAGGCTGCTGAGCAGTTGAGATGGTATTCACATTCGGGGCTGCTGGCTCTACAGTGATGACAGAAAATGGCATGGAGTTTGGATAGAATTTATACCGTCTATGCCCAAATGACATCCTAAAGTCCAACTCTCAAAGGGAGGTGCTAAGCTATGATCATAGTAAAGCACTGCATTCAAACTTCATGGTTTCAGGTTCTGCAAATAACTATATGATCTCATATTAATTATAACGTGTGTGTCACATCAGTGAGAGAAAAGTGATTCATAAAGCCTTCCATCCTTACAGTATCTTCAGCCAAAGATCCACATTAGAAGTTTCATTTTCAGGGCCGGCCTGGTGGCGCACTGCTACACAGTGCGCCGCTTGGGAAGTGCGGTGGCCGCCGAGGGTTCAGATCCCACATACAGACCGGTTCCCGCTCACTGGCTCATTTTCAGATAAACTCTCTTTAAACTCATGAAGGAGCGTTTAGGGAGTAGATACTATGGACTTTCCAAAAGTTGGCAGATCTAGATTTGCATCTTGGTTTTGCAACTCTAGTATAGCTGTATGACTTTCTGAAATTTTGGGTTTTTATCACAAATAAAGTTATGGCTGGTTCAATGGTAGTGGGTTATCAGAACTTATTAACTTAGTGTCACAAGCCTCTGCTGCTAAATTTGACTGGCTTAAAAAAAAAAATACTTTGCCACCAGGTTATTTGTGATGATAAAGGAAATGGGTAGAGCTATTATAACACATCTTATTTTTATAGATTTCTATAGCTCCCAAAGCTCAGAATGCCCATGAGTGGAACTGGTGAGCCTGTGTGGGCCATGGGTGTCCTGTGCAATTGGAGGGTTGTTGAGGGCACCTCCCACTTGACAGGTATTTCGACATGAAGTTTTCTAGCCACATGAGAAAACTGACTTGATGTTTTTGTAATCTTTTGGTTTATTTAGAATATTTATGCATGGGCTGGCCCGGCGGCGCACTGCTACAGTGCGCCGCTTGGGAGTGCAGCAGCGCTCCCGCCGAGGGGTCGGATCCCACATACAGACTGGCCGCTCACTGGCTGAGCGAGGTATGGGCGCAACACCGAGGGTTGCGATCCGTTGCTGGTCACGAAAAAAGACAAAAAGGGAAAAAAAAAAAAAAAAAGAATATTTATGCACGACCTGTTTATATTTTTGACAATAGGTCCTATCACACATTTTTCAGGGATTATAATACAGGTGTGGTCTGACTTTGCAAAGAACAGCTGACTCTGCTTCATGTGTTCTCACAAACTGCTTCTTCCCCAAGCACATTCCAATTAGGGTTTCGTTTATTCCGGAATGTCCAAGGTGATGTCCGTTATCTTTTATGATTCCATCTTTGGTGACGGATGGCAGAAAGGACTTCTAGAAGGCTCTTCTTCCTTAGAGTCCTGGAAGCTCATCTGAGCTCTCACTAGGCCTGGAGATGATTAGGCCTACTGACAATGAGTGCCTACTGTGCATTCCGTGTGTGGTAGGTGCTGTACATGGTCTCATTTGATTAACCACATAAGGAAGCAAATGTCTTTGAAATAAATGTGGCCTGGTAACACAGGGATGATTTACTCTTAAGATACTTGTTTTCTTCCTGCTTACAACAGTTCCTTAAAAAGCTTGAAATAAGGGCCGGCCCCATGGCTCACTCGGGAGAGGGCAGCGCTGGTAGCACCAAGGCCGCAGGTTCGGATCCTATATAGGGATGGCCAACGCACTCACTGGCTGAGCGTGGTGCAGACAACACTGTGCTGAGGGTTGCGATCCCCTTACCAGTCAAAATAAAATAAAATAAACATTAAAAAAAAAACAACCCAAAACTTGAAATAAAAGATTCTGTGTTAATGTTTCATTACTAGCACTAACTGGAGCCAGGGAGGTTTCAGAACATCCCCTTCTGTGTATAGCAGCAGCTGGAATGCTTGGGGAAAGGTTTACACCGGCTTTTATCTGGCTGATATTTTAAAACCCAGATGTCTGGGGCCGGCCCGGTGGTGCACTGGATAGTGCGCCGCTTGGGAAGCATGGCGGCGCTCCCGCCCGAAGGTTCGGGTCCCACATACAGACCGGTTCCCGTGATGTGTGCGTATTGTATTCCCTTTGCTGAATTATGGAATCTGTAAAGAATCCTGAGAGGTCATTTAGCCCCATCTCCCCACCAACGTAGGAGCCCCTTCGATAGCATTCCTGACGTGCGATTCTCCAAGTGCTTGAACTCTGTGGATAGAGAGCTCTTTCCATTATTGGACACTAATTGCTACAAGTTTGTTCTGTATATAAAAAAGTCTTCCACCTTCTAACTTCTGCCTAGGTCCTAGTTCTGCCCTTTAGGATAAGCAATCTTTGTTTTTCAAAATAATTTAGTACCGAGTTCCTTTTAATCAAAGTTCCTGTTCATTTTTTCAGAAACACACATTGTTGTATGGAACATAGATTATCACCTCCAGGAGGACAGGCCTTGAGGTAGAGAACAGGGATCACTCAGTGCCTTGTGTAGCGCCTGGCACGTGGTAGGTGCCCCATGAGTATTTGTACCCTGTGGCCTAAGTCAGATGTGCTATGGACTAAGCAGGAGCCTTTGCTCAGGTTAGAGGGCTCTCTGCTCAGGGCTTCCAACATCTTGTAGTGAAAAGTTCTTTATATGGTTGGGGAGTAAGTGTTTGAGAATGTCTTCTTAATAAGAATTCCCAACTTGGGGCTGGCCGGTTAGCTCAGTTGTTTAGAGCATAGTGTTGATAACACCAAGGTCTGGGATTCAATCCCTGTACTGGCAGCCGCACGAAAACAAACAAAAAAACCCCCAACTAACATTGAGTGCTCACTGTGCGTTCTGTGTGTGGTAGGTGCTGTACGTGGTCTCATTGAATCCTCACAGCAACTCTTAGAAAGTAGGTACTGTTTTTATCTGCATTTTATAGATGAGGAAACAGGCCACAGAGGTTAATTAAATGGTAAGGCCAGGATTTTAGTCTAGATCCCTAATCTTTTTTTTTTTTTTGAAAAAGATGACCAGTAAGGGGATCTTAACCCTTGGCTTGGTGTTGTCAGCACCACGCTCAGCCAGTGAGCGAACCGGCCATCCCTATATAGGATCCGAACCCGTGGCCTTGGTGTTATCAGCACCACACTCTCCCGAGTGAGCCACAGGCCGGCCCTAGATCCCTAATCTTGAAGTCCTAAGATATGTTGCCACTCTCTTGATAACAGCCACAGATCAGCTATCACAAGCCTTCCCCAGCACACTTCCATCCCACTGAAAACGTACTTTTCTTTCATTTGCAGCATATGTATCCCACTCCTAGGCTGGAACAGCTCTGTCAGGGTGTGGGTGGCATAGGTCCTTTGTGGTCTGCGAGTTCTATGTACACACTGGGTGCTCAGAATACTTTAGTCCATTAAATAAAATCTGCAAAAGGATATAAGAAGCTGGCTGAGAATTTCTCATCGGCAAGAGTACCCCAAAATTCTTAATGGCACTTGTGGGAACTTTTTTAGGCAAAAAAGCAATTATTTTGGTACAGAAATAAAGGACTAAGCAACATATAGTGTATAAGACACAGGTCATCAGGCCATGCTAATGTTACCTAGAAGCAGAAAGACTCTGATAAATGTGATCTAAGACTGAGGTTTCCCTTGTGAAGGGGTGTGAACCGGGACTCTGGAAAACTGAAAATGATTCACTTCTGGAAAGAGCTTTATTTATTAATCAGTTCTTTGGTTGCTTTACTTCGGCTTTAAGCCTTGCCTTGGACATTGGTCATCTTCAGTAGGTTTGAGGTGGAGGTTTTAGATTTTGCTGGCTGTCTCAGTTGGGTGAAGGGCTTTGTGCATTTGTTTCTGTGATTCTGATCTGTGAAGAAAGGCTAGGAGGTGGCACAGAGAGGGACTTCATGTTCTGCATCTCTCAGCAGCGGCACCATCCTTGGGAGGAGAGTGAGCCCTGGCTGTTGGCCAAGTGTAGGTGAGGGCACTGTTCTCAAATTGTGACTGTGACCTAGAGTAACAGTATGTTTTACGCCTGACATACTGTCTTAGTTTTCTGCTGCTTATGGCAGAATACCTGAAGCTGGGTAATTTACTAAGGAAAGAAATTTATTTCTTACAGTTTTGGAGCCTGGGAAGTCCAGGGTCAAGTGGGAACATCTGGTGAGGGCCTTCTTCCTGGTGGGGACTCTGCAGAGTCTAGAGGTGGCAATGCAGCACCATATGACAGCAGGACAAGAGCATCCTGATGTGCTCTCTTCTTATAAAGCCACCAGTCTGCTCTCATGATAACCCATTCATCATGAGTGGATTAATCCATTCATGAGGGCAGAGTCCTTGCAGTCCAATCACCTCTTAAAGGACCCACCTTTCAAATACCATATTGGGGATTAAGCATCAACATGAGCTTTGGAGGGACAAACATTTAACTCATAGCACATAGAGTGTGAAACAATATCTGTACTACAGGTGATGCACTCTGATTTCTGTTTCATTAAAAAAAAAAATGCTGGCCAGTGGCTGACAAGTCAGTGGTCAGCAGCATTTGGGAAACACCGGATGAGAGCCTGGCTGCTCCAGCGACAGCATCATCTGGGAGCTCTGAGACATGGGGCTCTTGGCCCCTCCCCACACCTCCTGCATTTCAGGTGGTTGGTGCATATTGGAGCGTTGGAGAAGGCCTGGCCTCGAGGACAGTGGCTCTGACCTGCTTGGGAACGATCTCTCAGGCCATCCTCTCCAGTGGATGCTGTCGGACACAGTGTCTCTCAGCCTTTCTCATGGCCTCCTTATTTTTCTGCCCATAGCGGATTCAGCCATCTTTTTATGTGAGCAAAACTTCACATTTTAAGCTTCTTATTCAAGGCTAATTTTATATTATGTTAAATCACTTGTTTTTGTTCTTACGGCTTCCTGCTTGCTATAGGCATAATTATGAGGAAGTAGAACTTCTTCAGAAGCAAGCGTACATGCATTCCAAAATAAGAGCAAATTTTCTCTGAACACAAGAAGAGGCATGAGTCTTTAATTAAGGGGTTAAATCCACTCCCAAAGCGCTTTTTGTTGGCACTGATTGTGCATTTTTGTTGGCTCAGGCTTGTGCATCACTGAGTGGAGGAGAGGGGTACAGGCTTCAGGCATGTGTAGTCACAAAAACAGCTGGAGGTTGAGCTTAAAATACCCCCCATCTCTAAAGAAGAGCCCCAAGTGCACAGAGCACTGGTTTCAGGGCTGCCAGGACAGATGAGCAGCCGCAGAGTAGCAGAGAAGTCCTGGGATGGCCACAGGATGCCACTGCGCTTGCTGCTGCTGCTGCTGCTGCTGGGGGCCACCGCTGCCCTGCCGCTGGAGGGCGGCCCTGCCAGCCAGGACCATGGGGTGAGTACTGTCCCTGCTCGGCCACATGGCAGAACACTGTCTCTTTCCTTTGTATTTTTGGCCATGCCTGTGGATTCACCAGCATCTGTATGTGTGTGCATGCATGCGCACATGAGTGCGTGCATGTTGCAGTTCACAAACAGGCGAGAATGAAGGGCTGAACTTTGTAGTGTGCTTCTCGGCTGCCCTGTGGAACTGTGACGTCCCACTCAGACTACTGATTCTCATTTACCTTCACTTGTCCTAACCCATGAAGTTTGTTAGAAACTTCTGCAACTCAAGGGGAGCCTCTCCCTCCTAGCGATCTCCATCTGCAAATCCATGAGCTGCTATGTGATCCTGGCTGTATGAGTCACACGTACTTCCAGAGCCTTAATTTATGTATAAGCACGTGTTCTCACTGGCTTGGATTCATCGACATCATTACATTTCCATTGTGAGAAACTGTAACTTCATGAGGTGATTTATTTTTCCCTTTTTTCAATTTTGAAAAAGTTCCAAGGAAGAGTACATAAAGTTGACGATTAAAAATGGATTTTTCTCTGAAATTACCAGATGAGTTTGGCAGGTTATCATCAGATTACTCCAAGAAGCTTTCTAAGGAATTTGAAAGACCAAAATATATCACCTCAGTCTAATCTGTCTCGAAGAGCAGTTTGTGGACATCTGGGAGTATGTCCAAAGACGGGAAAAACAAACTAAATTAGCTTCATCTACCTCTGGGGCTTCTTAGTTGCCAGTTGCTTGTCAGGGAAAAATGACAGATTTCCTGACATTACTAAGGACCTCAGCAGAGATTATGGGGCAAAACCAGCAGTTTTTTTTCTTGACTTACTGAAAATTATCAACCTTTCCTTTTCTTTAATTAGAGCGATTTCTATAAGGTATTCTCTTAACTTTCTCATTCTTTAAATGCAAATGTGATTTATTGTTATAGAGCATCTTTTCTTTTCTTTTTTTTTTAAAGTAAGGAAGGGATTGTGTATCTTTTAATGCTGGCTGAGCCGGATTGTTGATTTTTCTTTCCTTTGTCATCTGCTTCTCTTTAAAGCATATGCAAGAAGTGGCAGAAATAAAGAAAAGCAGCCTCTTAACTTCCCTTGCTTGGTGGCTGGAGTGGATCTCCCAGGCCATTGGCAGGCCCCTCGTCGGAGGGGAAGCCAGCGAGATGTCCAAGCAGCAGGAAGGTCCCTCCCAGGCCACTGGCGGGCCCCTCATTGGAGGGGAAGCCAGCGAGATGTCCAAGCAGCAGGAAGGTCCCTCCCAGGCTACTGGCGGGCCCCTCATTGGAGGGGAAGCCAGCGAGATGTCCAAGCAGCAGGAAGGTCCCTCCCAGGCTACTGGCGGGCCCCTCATTGGAGGGGAAGCCAGCGAGATGTCCAAGCAGCAGGAAGGTCCCTCCCAGGCTACTGGCGGGCCCCTCATTGGAGGGGAAGCCAGCGAGATGTCCAAGCAGCAGGAAGGTCCCTCCCAGGCTACTGGCGGGCCCCTCATTGGAGGGGAAGCCAGCGAGATGTCCAAGCAGCAGGAAGGTCCCTCCCAGGCTACTGGCGGGCCCCTCATTGGAGGGGAAGCCAGCGAGATGTCCAAGCAGCAGGAAGGTCCCTCCCAGGCCAGTGGCGGGCGCCTCGTCGGAGGGGAAGCCAGCAAGATGTCAAAGCGGTGGGAAGGCCCACCCCTTCCACAGTCCACACACCAACACAAAATGCCCTGCAAGAATTTCTTCTGGAAAACCTTTTCCTCCTGCAAATAAAACCCCATGCATGGTTCCTCATGCAAAAATTGTAATGATGGACCTGAATAAAATGTATTAATCAGCAGTGATCTTTCTTCTTTGGGTAGTTTCTTCTTCCCATGTAATTTGAAAAGTATTTTAAATTTAAATTCCAATAATGCCCAATACTGATTGTCTTACGTAATTTGGAACCCAAAGTGAACATTTTAGATATTTTTGTAGGTTTTGCTAGGCTGTACTCAACACAGCCATTGGACTTTCCTTCCGACCTTCATTATGGTACTTGGAAGATATGTCCTTATCTTTCTTCCTTTGATTTGAAATAGCTAAAGGCTACATATTAAAGAATTTGGAAAAATAATAATTTCCATTTATTTTGATACAAATTGTCTAATTAAAAAAATATTTCCCTCATATTAAAAGCAAATTTTTAACATAGAGCAGAATGATTATTCCTCACGTTTTAGCTAAACTTAATTTTAAAATAAATATTATGGTATTAGACAACATCATGCTGACATGCTTATAAAAGTTATATTCAAATTTGATGTTATTTACCAATTTTAGTTAGTAACATAATATTAATTATAATTCTTTTCAGGGATTATAGCTTCAGATATGCTTTGTGAAGAATGAAGTCTACTTAGAAAAATATTATTTCAAACCAGACACAGTGAGCGGTGTGCTGCTGGCCAGCCTGTAATCCACTCGCCTCAACTTCTAGCGCAAGGACCGCCAACACTTCAGTGTCCAGACATTGTTCAGTGACAAATGGATATGCATTGTGTGTATCATTGTCATATTAGATTCCCCATTCCTCAGTAATTTCCAGCGAGTAGTGATTAAGCGAGGGCAGTGCCATGTTCTACGACGTAACGCAGAGCAGCCGTGGACCAGGGTTTGGTCTGCTCAAATGAAGTTAGGAGCAAATGATGTGCTCAGTTTCAAACCTTGCCAGATTTTAATTCTCCCCCAGAGCACCGAAATCCTTGCTTGATTACGCATGTCGTTTATGACTCTTGGATCACAGACTATAAAGGAAAGTTCCAGTGTGAAGGTTTTTCGATGCTAAACCTGAAGCTTAGAGATCCATACCTGGAGTTGTGAAAAGCTTCTTGAGGGTCAGGCCGAACATTCGGAAAACCAGCAAAGGCTGGCTGGAAGACACAGTAATATTATTCTTGTCTCTGGACACTAGAGAGTAGACTCAGTACGATGCTGACCATCCCGTTCTGTTTTCCGCAGAGCTGGACTTATAATTACTAGCTGAATAAAATATAATGTGATAGAAGAGACTTAATAGCATCCACATTTTCAAGCACAGCAGCTTTAGGAGACCAGTAATTGGGTCAGTGCACTGATAGAAGATGCCTGCTTGAAAGGCCAGCTAACCTTCAGAATTTTGTCTTTTAAGAATTTTCTAGAAGAAAAGCATGCTTATTGTTTTTCCGTTTTTTAACTGGGGTCATACACAGTCCTTAAGATTGGGATTTTACCTTTTAACTAAGTAGTATCTGAAGGATGAGGTTCTACTAATGTACTGCCATGAAATCCATCAAGTCTCCTGAACTCGGGAGATGTAATAAAATATTCACTGGCATTGACTGCACGTTAGAATAGATTAATATGCTCATGATTAATAAATTAGAGTAAAATTGTAATTTCCTACCATCAGTTTTTTGGTATACTTTTCTTAAAGTATACCTTTCTGTAGTTCGATATAGTCAACTGTATAGATCTGGGTCATCAGGACCTGGACAACCTTGAATTCATTCTCTTGTTATTATTTCCAGTATTTGGCACCAGAATAGATCCTTAACTGCTGAGAAGAATTGACATGACAAGCATTCAACAGAAATCCCTCATAGTGTTCATATTACAGGGCTGACGGAAAACCATTCCAGGCTTTGGGAAACGCAGACCGGTGAGCTCAGGGGAAATAATTAACTGGATTTAAGGAGCACCTGCTGAAGGGCTCACTTACATCTTAATAACAGTAGCTCCTTCAGTAGAAATATGGGTTCCATTCTGAACGAATCAGAAAAAGAAAAACGGTTTACGTATTAAAAAGAAGGAAATTTTCTGTTTCTAGACCAGTAAGGAAGAGGCAAAGGACACTGGGGAAACCCACTATTCCTAACTTCTTATAAAGCTAATAAAAATAGTAATTTATCCTTTCATTTGCATTTTTAACTAAAAAGTGATCAAAAATTCATGTATTTATCTTATTAAAATAATTATCAGCTGGGGAAAAAGCTAGAGTTTTTGGTGATAGTTCTTGTAACATGGTATCACATGCATTGACCTGTTGGTTCACTTCCTTGTAACAGCACAAGTGTGGTCTGATCTCACTTGAGCAAACAGGCAACCTTAAGGTTCTGCAACCTGAAAATGCAGTGTACGAGCCAGGGAGTGGGCCTATTCCTCACTGGAGGTTTTCAAACAGGATGGAGGACCTCAAGGCACACCTGTGTACAGGACTCAGACAGTGGGTGGGTGTTCAGACTAGATCATCCCCAAGGTCCTTAAAAACTTCAAGTAGTATAAGATACAGCCAAAATAACTTAAAGCAAAACTCTACAAGTAAAGTAAAATGGAGAAAAACGCTGAAGGTGAAAAAAAAATTGAATAGATAATTAGGAAATTAAAGAGCTAAACAATCTGGTTAGTAAAGTCACATTAATAATTCTTGTAATTACGCAATTTTTTTTTTACAGACTATTATTTTATTCCTTTCTCTCTGGAAAATGAAAAATCCATTAGTTTCTTTCTTTTGCTTTTACCCAGAAATTAAAGCTTGGTAAGTGGTAATTAGCATAGCTCCTGTCAAAGCCAATTGCCTAATGGGGACCGACATTTGACTTAAGCTGAAAGAATGGAATATGGCTAATGTAGAGTTCATTAGTCCCAGCTGCTGTCTTTGACATTCTTTTCTCTTGTCATAAGATCAGGCATGCCCCGCTCTCTCTCCTATTTTTAGACATATTGCTGTGCTGCTATGTTTCTATTCCAGAAGGCCTAGAGGCACGGCGGAGGGAAGGTAAATGGTACCAGCGGCAATATAATGCAGCTGCTCTCACTATACGTTAAGGCTACAGTTTGCAGACTGAGGTCTCCCCACAGCCACATTGATAGGGGCCTCGTGCCCCCTCCCACCCAAGTGAGAGGGAGCTGCTTTCCATTGTCTGCTGTGTGCTAGGTGCTGTGCTCTTCCTCACAGGGTACCATTTAGCCTTCTCAGCCTTGGGGCCTCTGCTAACTAAGGTCCACTGCAAAAGCCGTAGTACTGTTTCCATTATTCTATTCAGTTGAGATGCTTGGTGGGTTTGTTTCAACTATAGAACACTGATACCAACACCCAGACGAGTCAACTAAAGCTCTACTGTGTACTTGACAGAAATAAAGAAAATATTTTTATTTATTTATTTATTTTTAAAAGATGACCGGCAAGGGGATCTTAACCCTTGACTTGGTGGTGTCAGCACCAGGCTCTCCCAAGTGAGCTAACCGGCCATCCCTATATAGGGATCCAAACCTGTGGCCTTGGTGCTATCAGCACCGCACTCTCCCGAGTGAGCCACGGGCCGGCCCCAAGAAAATATTTTTAATTCAGGAGGGCAAAGATGGAGATATCAATACGACGGGTGACTAGTATTCTATATTTCTGGAATCCGGTTTACTGCTGTGTGAGCAGCACAATGTTCACTGAGTCTGATTTGCTGCTCCAATGTCAACAGCTCAATGACTGTGGGTAGAAAAGTTGTGACAATGATGATGTAGACACATTAGGCCCTTCCCGGTTGGAGTTGACTCCAACTTATTACACTGGCATAACAAAATCAGTGACCTGGATGTAGAACAGAAAAGAGTGTGTGAGGGCCGGCCCATGGCTCACTTGGGAGAGTGCAGTGCTGATAACACCAAGGCCACAAGTTTGGATCCCTATATAGGGATGGCCGGTTGGCTAACTTGGGAGAGTGTGGTGCTGACACCACCAAGTTAGGGGTTAAGATCCCCTTACTGGTCATCTTTAACAAAAAAAAAAAAAAAGAAAAAAAGAAAACAGTGCGTGGACCTGAGAGAAAACATAGATAAGTGAAAACAGTGCTAGAATTAGATCCAGAAGACCTGCCTTTGAATCCCGGTCCTGTAGTTAGCCTTGTGACATGAGGCAAGTCACCGAACCTCACTGAGCCCAACTTTGCTCATGTATAAAATGAGAGATTGTAAGAGCCCCCCCCCCCCCCCCCCCCCCCCCC